CTTGTCATTTTCACTGTGTCTCATTTTCATACCTAATCTAATTCAAAACCCGACGATCGAATTTTGCTTCGGGCGCGCGTATTACTCGACTGCTAATTAAATAATAATGTATTACTAATCAATAGTTTGATATTATATATATGAATTTCTCACAACTTTATACAACCGCGAATAATTCTCTGTATTACAATTATTATTCGCGCTTCGCGTTCGCATTCATCACTGCAGCGCAGCATTTTGCACATCGATCTAGGTACACAATAAGATGGAATATTACGTTATTGCGTCACCTTTTTCCTCAGATAATTTAGAACTGTCGTGTTGCGCTAATCCCGCCATTTGTCGTCGCCGGGCGACAATCTCGTGATCTTCTCCGCCCCACGTGCGAAAATATTCCGCGCACGCGGTCGAATTTCGGAGTCTGCATTATCATCATCCCGTCGAGGTGGGGGAGATCGTCGACGACGACGACAACGACGACGACGACGACAATGACGCGATCATGCAAACAATGATTCGACTGTTCTCGGCTGCGCAGCGCGTATTTGAAAGTCGTGAGCGGCCTTCGTCGAGAGAGCCGAGAGTTCGAGAGAAAGAGAAAGGGCGGGCGGGGAAGGGATGGGACGTGACGGGCGATCGCGGGGGATCGTCCGAAGGGGAACAAGGATTTCTGTTCATTGACATACCAGAACGGCCGTCGCTGATTTCGCAAAAAGTGTATTTTCGCGCGCTAATTTGTACGGAGAGAGAAACGAGGGAGGAAGAGAGGAAAAATTCTCTCGGACTTTACGGCACAGCCTACGGAATTGTTCCTTGCTGCACGCGACGACGCAGCAAAGTGCACGGACGATGACGATAGCGTGAAGTTCGATGACTGCGCGACAAATTCCGCGCGGAAAGCCTCCCAAGTGTATTAAGTTGTTGACGCCACGCACATGGGAATTTCAGCCTCGACGTAAAAATATTTTGAATTCGAAGGCGCGCGACGTGGGGGAAAATATTATTACATCATCAATAATATTTTCTCAAACACGAAATCTTTTTGTGATACAGAGAGAAAGAGAGAGAGAGAGAGAGAGAGAGAGAGAGGAAAAAGGAGAAAGAGATATGAGAGCGAGAGAGATCATGATTGTGTTATTTGCCAAGCATATTTCATCGTATTCTTGTTTTCAAAACATCTTGATATCATGCTGACGGACCTTGTCAGCATTGATTTCCTCGGCTTGCCTCGACTCCATAATAAAAACAGTAAAACTATCTTTAGAAGACTTTTGACCGCTTATTGTTAGAGTCCGCGCCCAGCCTCTTACCTTTTTTCCAAGCCCTAGGGGCTTCCAAGAGGAATCTCCCAAGAGGGAATTATCTCAGAAGGGAAAGGTAAAGAAACCGAAGAACTTCTTTTTCTCTCTCCTCTATTGTGCTCCCACTATCATTTCCGGTCTTCCTTAAATGGTTTTACGACACCGACCCGACGGCACATGGCGTACATATTTTGCGTTCATTATCACGTGTCAGTGGTCAGAAAGCGAATGCGGGCTCCGGGCCCTTTGAACCTGGGGAAGGCGTGTATATACATACGCGTTTACGCGTCCGCACGAGTGGCGATCGAAGGAAATTGTTGAATCCGTTGCCTGGCCGCGCGGGCGGGCGGCGCGGCCGCGTCGATTATCCGCGCCTGTCTCTCCCGGCGGCGTTGCGTTTTTTGCCGATTATTAATAATCCGAGTCCGCTCATTTAATAATAGTAGTTAGTATCGGCACTGCGCGGGAGATTCACACGTCGATATCTTATTTACGCAACGCGCAACAGGCGCCTCACGGGCGACAAAGTCCAAGAGAGGATCCGCCGTGTTTGTTGTCGATTCTTCCGCGAATCACAAGGCATTATCGTACCGTTCGGTGAATAATTGCCGGCCGTTTATATATCGTTGTTATGCACGCGTCGCAGCATCTCGAAGATTTATTTTTCTTTTTCTCTCTCTTTTTCTTTCATATCCTCTCTTTCTCTCTCTCTCTCTCGCCGTGGAAACATTCGTTTCGATATATCGCGTTGCGTGGACGTTTCCCCCTGCCAGCGGTCTTCCGTACGTAGGTCTAAAAACTAGATAAAAAGTGGGAGAAAACAACGGAGGAACAGCTGGCATTCCCGGCCGCAGGAAAACCGATGGATCGGCTGCGCAGTTCAAGAGTTTTGTTTGACATTATCTAAAATCTCCTTCATACTTGTGCATATTTATTTAGGAGCACGAGAGTGTGACGTTACGGAAACAAAGAGCGTAGAGATGTCAGACCACGGTTTTACGTGACATTCCGCAGAGTCTAATTATAGATATATACACAAAAGTATTTATAACATAGCTATTTATATAATATTTTAATAATATTTATTTTTAAAATAATTTAACGCACATAGATATGTAAAAATTGAGACACAAAAGGCCGAGAAAAAAAAATTTCTGTTCGCGAGCTCCGAAAGATTTTCCCGGCAAAGTGTGCCTCCCGTAAGGCTTCCGTGTTCCTCGGCCTCTTCTCGTGACTCCTAAATTAATCGTCATCTTCGACGTTATCTCGTCGCGTCATGTGGGGCTCCGCTACGTATACTCGTACGGGTCACGCGGCGTCGCCATTACGCGTCATTACGCAACATCATTGTACAATATTTACCCGTGCGATCTGTGGCAGAGAGAGAGAGAGAGAGAGAGGGGGGGGGGATGAGACAGTCGTGTGTATATGCGCGCGCGTATGTACACTGCGGATTGCCGCTGACGTAGTGCATTCCTGAGATTACAGGTGGACTACTTTTCAGAAACGCGCCAGCCGATAAGCGGCGCGTTCTCTCTCCGCTATCGATCTCGACCGTGCTCGCGCCCCGTCTACTCTGCCCGTCGCGCGTCGACCACCGGCACCGTGTGGAAGATTATCTATCGGCGCGTCAGGAAGATTTACGGAAGGGAACGCGCGCGCGCGGGGCCACCGCATCGACGATGATCGACGATCGCGACCGCGCGCGCGCGCCCAATCGCTCCGTCTGTATTAATAAATTATAAGTGCGAGCGGACGCACGCTGCACTCCGAATCCCGGAGTATAACTGGAATCCTGAGAGTAACTGGACTGTGCTGCAGGCACTCGGAATACGGGATATCGGAAACTGCGGGACGTTAGAGACAACACAGGATGTAACCGTGTCGAAAAAAAAAAAATATGTAGAATATGTCGTGAGACAGTGAGACTTTCCCGCTGTGCTTTTCGAATCGGCATCCTGTATATTCTAGGAATACCCATTGACCGTTGTCGTTGCGAAAAAGAGAGATACCTGCTTGTGACTACGGGATTACCCATTTCGACGATTATACAAAAGCTTTTTCCGTCGTCGCGGAAAAGTTGAAAGGCACACAGGTAGAGAGGGACCGGACAGAAGGGAAAAAAAAAAGGCGGGAAGCGCCTTCGTTCCGGAGGCCCCCGAGGTCTCTCCCGCGGAGGAGCTCCCGCTGAACCCCGGAGAGTCGCGTACATACCGCCAACAACCGGCCGCTTTTCGAAGTCTCGGAGGAATCCGAGAACCGACCGGATGCAACTCCAGAATGGGAATGCAAGCGGCGGCGGCGGCGGCGGCCGCGCGCGCGGCGCGGCGTAGCGCGGCGCGAGACGCGTGTACGAGGCTCCGTTATACGCGCGAGTATCGGGTATTTCCCAGAACGCGACTATAAACAAACAAACACATCGGGTTGGTGGAACAGAGAGAGAACGAGAGATAGAGCGAGTGACGGCGGGAATGAAGGGGAGGAGGGACAGAAAGAGAGAGGAGGCGGGGGGAGGGAGAGAGAAAGAGAAAGAGAGAGAGAGAGAGAGAGGGTACCGCCGCGCGTGTGATCAGTGCACTCCCTTCCAAAGCGAGAGAGTGCACCGACGAGGAGCGCTCCAGCCGCCGCGCGCTGTGCCGGACGCAGGAAAGGGAACGCGGGGGACGGTGGCGGCGGGGAGGGGAGGGGGAGAGAGCTTGATCCTGGCGCCGTCGGTTGAGAAATCCCCCCTCCCCCCTGCCGCTCCCGTCCCCCCTCTTCGCCAATTGCGCGACCGGTGCATGCGCCGTGCGTGGGGTTTCCCTGGTTTCCCCCGCCGTCCGCCGGGCGCGAAAACCGTCGGCGGAGCCCCACCACGAGGAGCGGGCGCGCACACACATACACACACACACACGCACGCACTGCTTCCCCTCCGACGCTCGCCCGTTCGAAATCGCAACGTAAAGTCGTCGCGGGCGAAACGGCGACGGGTGACAAACAGTCGACGCTGTTTACCATCGATAATGCGAAGGTATCGGGGCGGACGTGCGCGAGCGAGCGAGCCGCTCCGCTCGCCTGCTCCAAACGCCCTACGGCGACGGCGGCGGCGGCGGCGGCGTCGTCGCGGCAGCGGAATTCAGGTTGCACACGGGGTGGGTTTCGGGCTGCGCTTCCCATCCACGGCGGCAGCTGCGCCCGTCGAGGTCATTAATCTCGCGCTAACGCGAGACCACTCGTAAATTCGAGCGGATCCCCCGAAACTCCGGCGGCGGCGCGCGACGCATTCCGATCTCCCCGTCGTCGTCGGCGCGGAATGCGAGGGAAACGACGCGAGGAAGCGATCCCGGGAAGAGGCTAGGCGTTCTCTCGGTCCCCGGTGCTGCTTTCGTTGCAATTTTCGCACTTGACCGCAGGGCTAAGCGTGCTTTACGATCCGCGGTAAGATTACCGGCGCGCGGCTCGGCGCGGCGCGACGCGTTACGACGGCGACGGCGGCGGCGGCGGCGGCGGCGGCGGTGGCGGTGGCGGCGAGGGAGCCAAGGGAGCGCGCGTTACCCCTCGCACGGCGGCCCCACCATCGCTCCCGGATGCGGTCCCCCGCGTCGGTGGTGGGGCGCCGACGGTCGCCGGAATGGGAGGGGGGGAGGACAGCAGCGGCGGGGAAGTTGTGCTTGCCGCCAACTCGGGCGATTCTCCGGTGGTGGGGAGAAAGCGCGGGTTAGCAGCCCGGACACGCCAACCGTCGGATTCAGTAAGCGAACGGCTCTCAACGGCCACGAACGTGTTTTTCGTTCTTCGGTTCCCGCGCATGCATATATATATATATATACGTAACGGGCGATATATATGCACTATCCAGAGACTGACCCGCGAGAAACAACGCACTCGTCGTCGGGTGTAGTACGCAGTCGGTGATCGGCGACCGCGACGACGTGACGACTAGTAGTCAGACATCGTGACAACAACAACAGCAGCAGGCAGCAACAACAACAACAACAACAACAGCATAGTACCGCGACACAGAATTCCGCTTTTCGAGTACTACAACAACTTAATCCGTCTCTTTAACATCGCATCCATCCCCGCGAAATCAAAAAAGAAAATAAGGAAAAAGAAAGTTCTTTCATCCCGGTTCTGCAAAACGCACCCACCCCCGCCCCCGTAAACCCCGTCATTTCGGTTTCGGTCCTTCATCTTCGTTCCCGCAACTGTGGCTTCAATCAATCAAACTGGATTCCAACAAGCAGTACGTGTCGCGATTACTTCGCGGCTACCGGAGGCTTAAGAAATTATTCAAGGTAAGAGATCCATCTTCCCCTCTGGACTCACTCGCGTGATCGCGAATCCGCCCTCTTCGATTTCTCTTCCCTTCGCGCGCGTTCTCTCTCTTTTTCCTCTTTCTACCTTCGCGCGGTGATCGAACGAAGGGACCGCGCCGATAGGTTTTCGCGCGCGTATCCGGCCGTGCGGGCAGGCAGCAGTGGTAGGGTGTAGTCGCGCTAAAGTCGCGAGCGATCTTAGTGCGAGGTAAATATATCGAGTGCGTGTTTTTCCGTCGGAACGATGTGTGGTGAAACAACACGACATGATACTCGCATCGAATGAATCTCGCAAAATATCTTCGATGTAGATTCGCGCGCAAGATCCTCTCTCTCGTGAGATCGTCTATCGCGCTTGCGACGCGCCCGGAGTACATAGAGAGATCTGTCAGCGGCGGAAGCGACACTGTACTCCGACTACTTGGCTCGGACGTGCGTAAGATAGCGCGCGAGAGTATAGACGCGTGTGATAAGTTGGCAGGCCGACGAGGATGACAGGGCTGTTTCGTAAGACGCGCCGACGTGTTTTCGAGTTTAAATAAATAGTCAGCGGCGCGTTGATATACCCGACTCGGATCAGCGTCCGCGACTTCCACGCTCGGCGAGGAAGGCTGGCGGGACGAGAGCTCGGCCGGAGTATCTCGTACGTGCGGTAATACATGTACATGACGGGAAGAGAAGAGACGCGTTTGTATGCTACACGACGCCCACCGTGTGTATACGTACGGGTTAGTCGCGCGCGCGGAGCCGCCTCGCGCCAAGTCCGCGCTCTCGCAACGCTGTCGGCGAGCAATGTCAATTATCGCCGACAATCGGAACGAGGATACGCCCGTGTATGTGTTATGTGGATCGGGTCGATAAATAAATATGTAGACCGCCGCGCGTCTCTCCTGCACCGCGCGCGCGACGTGTTTACGCGACGGATTACGGCGAGGCCCGTGAAGTATGCGCGCGCGAGAGAGATCCGCATGGTAGAGCGAAACTTCTTGTTCATTTCGGGACAAAGGGGGGAACCGGGCGGTTAGGTGAAATAAATAACGGGGGGGACGCGTAAGAGAAGAGCGAGAGAGAGAGAGAGAAAGAGGGAGAAGGAGGTTATTATACTGCCTCGCAGCATGAATAATTTACACTCGCTCGAATTTAAATAAATTCGCCCGCCGCCATCGCCGTCGCCTCTGCCGTCGTCGTCGTCGTCGTCGTCGGCTCGAAAAACCGTAAGCGCGTAATCTCGACTCCCGAGCTCGAAGGTTGTTTACGGTCGCGCGGCGCGCAGTTAATTTTAAACGAATTCGCCGGATATTGTCGCCGGGTATCTCTCGTCTCGTTCGTTATCGCCCGGTTATTTATGTTATTCCGTGAAATTACTTAGAAGCCCGTCAATTAGGTCTCCAACCGATGCAGCAGTCGTAAACAACGTGTGACGTAAGCTAGGCATAACCGGTGGTATTATAGCAAATAGCGAGGAACGCGCGCGATAGACGAGCTGATAATATTCTTCGCAAAACATTACTTCCTCGGCATGTCCGAGGAATCGCGAGTGGGAAAAAAAAGCGAAAAAAAAAACAGAAAGATTCGTCAGGACGCTCGCTCGAGTCTCTGGTACTGCTGATGCTGATTACCGATGTAATCGAGATCGATCGGGCAAGCTTTTAACTTCGCGCCCTTTTAACTCGGGTCCTTGTTTTCGGCGCGTTTCGACCGAGTCCGATAGCGCGGAATGTCACGACCGAGTATCTGCAGTTGGCGCGCGCGCAACATCCTCTCTCGTGGCCGAAAAATAAAAATAAAAAATGAAAGAAAAAAAAGGGAAAGAGGGGAGAGCGAATGCGATTATGGAAACCGACGGAGGCCGTAAGGTCGTGTCGCGTTGGCGATCGTGACATGTGAACCGTGAATGATCGAGCGAGAGATTCCGTCACGCCCGCGTATAGATACGGAGAGGGAGGATATGCCGCTGTATTAAACGTGCGTCCGCCGACGAGACGATGTCCCCCGACCGAAAAACATGTTTGGTCCGCGCGCCGCGCGCGGACGGTTGTTTATGCCGATATGTACCATGCGCGAAAGCAAACACTTTAAAGGTCTCCGTAGCGCGGCATCGGGAGCTCGATCTTCGTTCCCTGAGCGCGTTATCTCCCGATGGCAGTCGCGCGGCGCGAATAAAAAGGGAAAAGAGATAGAAAATAGATTTTATATATATATATAAATATATATATATATATAAAATCTATTTTCTATCTCTTTTATATATAATATATAGAGAGGAAGAAAGGAGGAAGTTAAAGACAAGAGATTTCCCCTCCGCGGTTGTCGAACTTGCGGCGAAACGAAATATATTCGGCGCTCTCGCAATTGTTCTCGTCGTTTACACGCCGATCTCACCTCGACGCAAAACCCAAATAAGACCGTGCACGGCGAACACGGAGTTACGGTGGTAGAATAGCTCCCTGCTAATGTATCATAACGCAAATACCGCACGCGGTACCGAAATTATGATCTACGCGTGCCCGTGGCACCTTCGAATTAAACCGCCCAAGCCCCGCGCGACGTGGCTGCAGCAGTAGCAGCGTATAGCGCATAATTTCTCGGAACTTCGGCGGCTGCCGGTGATGCAAGGAACGCCATGCACGGGGGAAACTCCGCGCGGCGCCAAGTAGCCTTCACCTCCGCGGGGAGTTGCATGGGAATTGAAAAACAGTTCAGGGTACTTGACCTATAACTAACGGAACCCGCACATTGTGTCAAGCGTCGCACTAGCTTTCGGCAACGTCATTACGTAATACATTTATTTCTAATTATATTTCTCTCTAAATCGCACTCCTTCTCACTCTCCCGTAGCGTTAAACAGTAATGGAAATAACAATTAGCGTGTTGATCACGAGATAGAATATAGAGATGCATTAATATTAACCCTCCTCCCTCTGTGCTATTTAAGTTCTATGACACGTATTTTGTTTACCCTCCATCACCTCCATGTGGCGTCGCATGTCGCATAATTTCCGTTAATATCCACGATAGTTTAGCCGCTGTTGATTTTTTTTTGCACGCTTCACGGCAATAACGATACACACGTGCATTAGAAACGTTATTGCCGCGCCTGTTGACTTTTCCGCCCTCCTACTGTGCGCGATCGGAATGTGCACCACCGGTGCGCCGGCCGCCGCGCCGCCGCCGCCGCCGGTGCGTGCACATTCCTCGATCCCGACAGTAAGATCACCCTCGGACTAACTTATTGTCTGCTCTCGAGGCGGATCGCAACAAAGTCGAAATGTGTTTAAGGTCGACTGTTGCCCTGTCGAGGAATCTCCGTCCGTCCCACCCCGAAAAACTCTCTTATATATATATACAAGCTCCAAGCGCACAAACGGCTTTTTCTCCATGGCAGCGAGAGACTTTGTGTGCGGCTCGCCTACCCTTATAGCAGCAGCAGCAGCAGCATTCAGTCTCACGCTTTTAGACCCCATTGTACATAGAAACATGTCTCACCTTTTTACTCGCTCGCTCTCAGTAGACCCTTAATTAAAGGAAGAATCGATGGAACGAAATGTGTATATATTGGAAAGTGATATTTCGTTACCTGAGGAGATCTGGGGCAGAAGCGCTTTAACAACCAACCTTTACTTTTCGCAAGTAACGTTTTCGCGCGCGGACGGGGGGAACATACATGGGCTTGCCTTTCCCCCTTCGGGTGAAGGGGGGGGAGAGGGATAAATATAAAAAAAGGCCACGATCGATACAAACACTTGACACAATGCCGCGCGGCGTTATCGCGCTCCTTTCACGGAGAGAGCGTGATATTGCTGATCTGTACTTTGTACTTATCGCCAATTTTTACTTGACGGCTTAACAGCTCTCTCTCTCTTTCTCTTTCTTTCTCTCTTTCTCCTCCCCCCTTCTCACTCTTTATTATCTATTATATCACCGCTCGCGCGCTCTGTGTCACCGTACACTGTGATGTACTTCGTACTTTCGTTTACACGCTTGTAATACAAAAATATTTATTATCTCGCAGTCTATAACGAGCGGGATTTTCTCCCGCTTTCTCGCCTGTAATCAACGAGTTTTTCTTTTTAATTAACGAGTCCTGCGAACGAGAAATAGATAGATACATACATACATTCATCTTCATATTTCTTTCTATTATCATATAATTTTTGATCCTCGCGCCATACCGATTATTTTCAAGTTCGTTTTAAGGCGCGCACGAGACGGAGGCGCTTATGTGAACGCGTGTTAGAACGGCGCAGTGTCGCTCGGGCAAACCGTATTCTATTCAATTCCACTCGCTCTCTCGTTCTCTCCTCGTCGAACGAACCGCTTTTATTCGCCGGCATCGGCGGCGCGTGATCCAATTTAACCGCGCGCTCCTTCGCCCGCCCGTCCGTCCGTCCGCTCGCTCGCTCGCGACATGTTTCTCAGCGTCTGCGAATGCAAAACATCTCATTCACGGGCAAAAGTGCTGGCCGCCTGCGCCAATAGGCGTAGTCCTTTACCTGCGAGAGCGGCAAAAACGAGAGTAGTGGCGCGCGCGCGCGAGAGAGAGAGAAAGAGAGAGACGGGGTTAGTGAGGTCGAGAAACGCGGGAGGAGAGAAGGAAGGAGGCAGACGATGACGACGGCAGCGGCCGCGGCGGCGGCGGCGGGTATATAGAGAGAGCGTCGCACTCTCCTTCGCCTCCCTTCGTCCTCCGTCCGCGCGAAGGGAAAGGGAAAGGAGGGAAGGGTAAAACCCGCGTACCGGGAGAGAACGCGGAACGCCATAAGATGGAGGAGAAGGAGAGAGAGAGAGGGAAGAGAAGACGGGAGAATGCTCGGGAGGAGAGAGAGAGAGAGAGACGGAGGAGAGCAGATATGCGCGGATAGTTTATTCCGTCGTTGCGACGAAGCCCCTAAGGACGCGTAGCGGATACTCGCGCGTGTACTCGCGTGCGAGCTTCGACATACGAGGGGGGCACACCGGAAAGCGGTCGATTTTGTGTG